ATATATAAAGATTTACTGAAATATTCCACAATATAATAGTAGTAAAGTAAATATAATGCAAACCATAAAATTTATTCATTATTATTATTATTCATTTCATAATTGATATGATATTTTAACCGAAGGAGTGTTTAGGCAAAGAGAAAGCTCTACACAAAAGGTTTATTAATTTTCTAGTTATCTCTATTACCAGCAAAACTAATGGACATTTTTAAACAAAATGATTTTGATATATTGACCCAAAACATAGGCTCAACACAACGCCAAATAAAACCTTTTTAATTTAAACTGTTTTTATTTACCGTATAATTTATCCCCAAAATAGTTATACCTTTTTGTATTGTTTTTCATTTGAATTATATATGAGTTGTTATGAATAATTGAGAACAAGAAAAGAGTTGCAAAAATATGATATATAAATAAAATCATAGATAAAGGAATTCATTACAAGAATTTATTATTTATTCATGAAATTATTTGTGATTAAAAGCGACGGGCATTTAATTTAGTGAATAGAAAGCAATTGAGAAATAAATGCATAACAATTGTAATCAATCATCGATGCAATAATGGGTTGTAATAATGAGCATAACATTCAATAATCAACAACTGATTTACAATAGATAGCACTTATTTTGTGTAAACCATTAAAAATATGCAATGATTTTGTGATTAGAAGTAAATATTCTTCGATGGACTCAATGTTTAAGGAATGCATTCATTAATTCAAAAGCACTTCAATATTTAACATTAATATATTTACTATACATTTACTCATTCAATGTACAGTAATATCTTTAATAATACGCTTCAATAGACTTTATCTTTATTTCAAAGCCGTATAATAAATCTCTTTTGTTGTGTATTTCTAATTATTCTTCTTTTATCATCTCTTAAATGCTAAACAATGACATTAATTCTTACTTTAACAGTAAAACTCTGCTTTTGTATATTTTGTATAATTCTGAATTTAATTATGTTCAACAATCATTTTCAATTGGTATAAAGGCCTACAAAAATTAAATGCAATTATACGGAATTTGGCCATCTACTAATCACCCGATATATTTATTTATGAATCCAGATTATTCCTCATATATTCAAAAATGATATTAATTTTACAAAATAAAAATATTTCTTAAAATATTTTAATTACAAATATTTTAAGGCTTTAAAATAGACCTTTAATTAAATACGACAATTGAAAAATGATTATTGGACATAATAAAAAATGAATTATTACACTGAACAGTTTAATTTGTAAATAAATGATATTAATTAAATTGTATTTTGTGTTTACAATGTTTTTGGTCTTATTTACAACTATTTTTGAAGCAGAACTTTGATCAGAAAGTGTTTGACTCAATTTATAGCATATAATTTAACCACAAATTGAGCCCTACATTCAATTTGTTTGAAAAATATTTTCCTACACTTTACAATTTTCTCTACGAAATTATCATTTACTGGTAATTCAATACTCAAAAAGGATTATATCATAACAAAAGTCAACTATTTTTGTGGCAAATATTAAAAATTGAATTAATCTTTAGGAGAGACCGATATCTAGATTTTAAGTATTAATCCGAAACGTGCGGCGGTTTTGCATTAAATAGTGAATTGATTTTGCTTTGATGCAAATAATTTCCCACACAATCACACCTCTGGTTATTCTCACACACAATACACGTATGAATAATTGAAAATAATTTTAAATTATATACTCTTCTATTGACTATAATTCTCAATATTTAATAATATGTTAATATTATATACGAGAAACCCTTCCATACAATGAATACCCTTTCATATTAATAATCAATGAATACTTTTAACTCGTTTTATCGCTTAACAAAAACTACGAAATGAGAAAATATATTCGCTATAAAACCAGTCATTAAAGTGTTTAAGAAAATGAAAAAACAAAAATAAATTTTGGTCTCAAATAGTTGTCTGAAGTGAAGACTAACTCTAATAGAGAGTCTCTGTTTTCGGGGGAATAAAGAAAATAATATAATAATAGCCTAAAGTAATCGGCAAATAATTGGCGAATGAATCACGAAATCTAAGCAAACAAAGCCTTGTCTCGAGTTATCGAGTGTTGAAATTCTTGAAGAATTTAAATAAAATTATTACAATATTTTCTTCTCTCGTTTATGATTATAGCGGCTCTGAACGAAACGTTTGGCATTTATAACTATACGGGAATCGCGAAACCGATTGCCCGGCCTTTCCTCGAATCCCATTTCCAATCTCTGGTCGCCTGTCGTACACCTTATTTAACAGGTAATGGATTTACAGGTTTGCATACATTTCTATAATTAATTCATACAATAACTATACTATGGAAGCGATTATCCGGAATAATGATCCTTAAAGAATACCCGAATATACAATATATTCGTATTTTTAAACTATAAATATAAATAACGTATAAATAGCGTACTTATAGTCTGTTAAGTATTAATATAGGACTCTATTATACAGTAAATTATATTGAAGTATATTATAGCATATAATACTGTAGTGTTTTGCCAGTTCTCACAGTCAGAGAACCCGTTGATTGAAAAAAGTGCAAAAATGTTAATATTATTAAAAGTTTATTTTATGTTTATATGGATTGAAGTGATCATTGTTTGATGGCCTGTCCGGCGATGGGCTGTGTGTAGAGCACAAGTGTGTATATTTAGGGTGACCACCAGATGAGGGGCACAGTGTGTATGTGTTGAGAGGCATATGCTTTTGTATAAATATAACATAAAGTGGTTGCGATTGAAATATACAATGAATGATACGATACACAAACATTTAGTACAGAATCTCACAGCAAAAGAGCTTTTGTTATGTAGTTTTTGAGGCAAACCTTCGCTGTAAGCCTTCTTAGCATTTGTGTCTCTTTTGAAAACAGTTGTGATCTATAATTACAGACTTATTGTTGAGGAACAGCTTTTTATTCACCCAAAAATAAACAGATCTAATACTCGGCTAAATACAGGATTTGTTCGCCTCTTTCATAGCCGTCTTAATTGAATCTTTTGTTAACAGCTCTTCAATAATAACAGTATATCAAAGCCTAAAGTATTATATTATATATTATAGCACTTTAAGCATGAGATGAGATGATGAGCAACATATTGAAAGACCTGCAGCTGAGACCCAATCACAACTAAATTGCATTTTTATAGCAAGTAATGCATAAAAAAGTTTGCTTTTATCCCTACATTTTAATCACAAAAAAGTAATCGACAATAAATTATACGCAAATTGAAATTAATGAATGTTTTGAGAGTGTATTAACTATTTATACTGTATTTATATTATATAATACATCAATAGTAAAGTAATTCAGTAGTGATACCAAAGCCTAAGCAAATCGCTGTTCCGAAACATACAATACATATTATAATACTGTATGAAAACAAAATGACATAACAATGTTATGCGACTAATTATAGGGTCAAATGGCAGCAACGCTTCCCAATTAGCGAATGCCATAAACTGTGGTAACGGTCTATCAAATGGTCTGCCATCGGGGGTCAGTCATCACCCGCACCCGCACTCGCATCCATTGGGACTACACTTTGCGACATCGTTTCCGTGGGCGGCGGCCGCCAGAGGAAAGCCCAGGAGAGGAATGATGAGGAGAGCCGTCTTCTCCGACGCTCAACGACAGGGACTCGAGAAACGCTTTCAGATCCAGAAATATATCTCAAAACCTGATCGCAAGAAACTCGCGGAGAAACTCGGATTGAAAGACTCGCAGGTATTTTGAAACCATCGCTACATTTACTATGCGATCACTACTACTTAACTAAGCGCTAACTCATCGCTCTTTCACATGTATAGCCATATCTTAATGTTTTTAAAATTATTAGACGAAGCGATCACTGATAGCGTCTGAAAAGTGATCAAAATTTATCATCGGATAATTAATGAGATTACGCTTTCTTATACTAATAGGCTATGAGATGCGCGCACACAGTGTTTGGGCAGTAATTATAAGTTATTCAATAATTTTATTCTGTATGACATGTTATAATTATAAGGATATTAACTCAACAAAAGCTTTTCTCTATAAGAAATTCTTGATAAGAGGCATCTTTTTTCTGCCAAATCTCTCATTATTTCTCGGCTTTTTTCTTCTTTTTATATAACGTATGAACACATTATTTGCGATACACTTGTGATCAACAGTCAGTCATTAGCTATTTATGAGAGCATTTGGTTTTTATTGATACTTATTTATTATATATATTAAGCAATAATAACGGGAATATATATAAAGCAATAAAAACTTTTTAATTTTTGTCTTAAAATATATTATTTAGAGATTCATTAATAAATAAATCATTTATTAATTTGCATAATATTAGAGACATATTGAAAAACAAGAAGTAATTGCTTTTATGCATAACAAAAATCAATGTAAATGTTGATGACTTAGTGATTGCGATAACGATTATTAGATACGAGAAAAACTATGTTTTCAATTATTGATAATAAAATATATTCATATAATATGTTTGGGAAACAAAGATCCGTATTTAACACAATTTGTTGTGAACTAAATGACCAAATATTAGGCAAACATTGGCTAAAAGGCGTTATTGTGTGCTTTGAGTCGATAGTCTGGTTAGAGTTTGTGTTCATTTTTTGGTTTATTTCTAGTATTGCCTATACTTTTGTTAGATATTTTTTGTTATACTTGGGCTATAAGTGCTATATTAGCAGTGAGTTTGCTTTTGTCCATCTCTAGCAGCTGTTGTCAGGCATTGGTTTTCTTTTCCATATATTTGATTGTGTTTTGAGGCACAGCATAATCAGCCTTTCAATACACAATCAAAACCAATACTAAAAACTTCTTGAGGATAGCTATTGAAAGAGAAATAAAGCGCTTCACAAACATTAACATTAAATCTGAATTCTTATAAAGAAATTGAATACGAGTTATGAGTTTTCAAATGAATTCATAACTCTTCATAAACACATAATATCCTCACAAATAGTATTTCTTTTCTCAATACTATTTCACTCATCATTTTTATCCATATATTCAATGTTTTATAATTTTAATGTTTGGCATACAATTGAATGGCATTTATATGAACACAAAAAGTGTTCATCTCTTTTGCTTCAATTCATATCATTTTATTATTCTTTCAGTCGTTTGGTTTCAATATATTTTCAATAAAATTTGAATACAATTTTTAAAAACTCTGAAAACATTTTAATGTCTATCGATTATTGCATTTAAAACAATAGTTATAACTTAATACCAATTAACACAATTGAATGCGTTAATAAAATATTAGTTAATTTGTATGAAATCACAGATGATATCAATATTATGAATGCAATACAGTATCAAAACGAAACCCAAACCATATATTAAATCCTCGGATGTGAACACATCTGCTTATAATCACTGACGCAAACAATTCATATGAACTCCACTTTTCTTCCGTAAAATGTATTTCTTTTTGCGTTAAATACAGTATGAATTCATTTGTTTATATGTTTCCCTCTATTTCTTATATCTTTTCATATCTTCACATAAAGTTAATATCAAAAATGAATTAAGTTTTTTGGCAAAAACAATGCACTCCTTATTGCATAATCTGTTTGTTTTGTTTTATTGTTTTAATTGAAACTAACTTTTTGTGGATAATTATTAATTTGATTTATTATTCAAAAGTTTGACAAATAAAATATCGATCAAAACATTGGTTTCAAGAAAAGATATTTTATAAATGTATAGTAATGTTAGGAACACAACCAATACTACAATACATTGTGTGTAAATATAGTGTCGAAAATTTTTTCCCGAGTAATGATTTCTTCAATTCATTGTATTGTAAAAATCAATTCATTTTTTCTCAAACTTATGTGAAGATGTATTGATATAAGTTATATCATATAACTTAAAGCTTTATCTACGAAAATATTGTATTATTACAATGTTTACTGTTATTTTGTTATGACTTAACACTATAATTGAATAATTTGTGATTTTGTCATTCCTTCCCTCGCAATACATCTCAATTCACTGTTTATTGTCTAATCATTCATAACTTTTATAGTAAGAAACTGGAGTTAATTTAAGTATCAAAACTAATAATAGTTAGCTATTTCTTTAGTGATCTAATACTTATTCAAATCTCTATTAATATTTATAAAATAGTTGTATAATTATATTATAAACTGATTATTTACATGAATTTTATTAACCATTTAAGTTGACATTTCAATCAGAATTATTCACAAAATATAATAATTTCTTTTATCGGATGCGAAAAAATATTATTTTATGATAAATGAAATTTTGAGTTATAATTAGATTTTGACAAATAATACGTGAAAGAGATTTAAAGAGTGAAAAAGAGCTATAATTAGAGGATGTGTCTAAAGATAACACACAATCCTCTCTCCCATTATCTGATTTACAGCATTCAATGAATCGTAATTATATTGTCTATGAATTAAATAAAATTTAAATTAATAATTTTTAAACACATGAAACCATATCATATAATTGGCTGCAAATTTTTGTATGTTTTCATATTAAGTCACAAAACGTGATGTGATATTAAAATTTATTTTTTTGATAAAACGTTTAATATATGTTACGTTACGAACCCTTTTGGTAATAATTATATAATCATAAAAATGTTTTGCGTTAATGTTATGTTAGATAAGTTTTAATAGAGGATTCAATAAGTAATAAATAATTCATAAAAATATAAGTTATTTCCAAAGCATTTGTTTCAATAAAACAGAAATATTGGTTAAGAATTAAATGCTAATAATTTATAGACTAATCGATGCCATAAAATAAATTGAGTTTTCTTTTAGTTTTTTATTAATTTCCTTATGTTTTTATATTTAATATCATTTAATTGAAAATCAATCTATAAATTGATTATTTTAATCAATTACTTAATCCGTAATGTATTGCCGATTATTAATTGCTACATAAGTAACTACTAGTCTTTATAATAATATTAATTTGTTTTATTGTTATTGTTATTAAGTTTTTTATATTTTTATGCCTTCAGTTTAATTAGGATTTAATTTCGTAAAAAATAACAAAAAATTAAATTATAATTTTTTTATGTATTGAAAAATTGCTTATTGTTTGAATGAAATTTTGATTGATATTCAGTTGTGTTTCGTTAACCTTGGCTTACATTACAAATATTCATTCAATTCTTCAAATTTGTGGCAAAATATCATTTCTTTTGTTTTACATACAAAAACCAATATCTCTTATAAATCGCTACAAAATACTAAGTTATTTGAAACAAATACTGAGATAAGAATTTATAATTAATTAATTAATTAATTCCCGAAAAAAATAAATCATATAATATATCATTAATTTTTAAATAATCTTATTATCGAAATGTGAAAAATAAAATATAAATAACTGCTGACACAGAAGTGATTGTTTGTTATAATATAGGCTTTTATTAAATATTAAGTTTTCTTAATAACCGTTATATTTCGCTAAATAATCATTCATTAAATAAACTAATTATAGTTTTGTTTTCTTACTATTTATGTAATCATTATTTTTGGCCCAATTTTCTGCCAGTTTTTAAAGTGATTTATATAATTAACAATTTATTGTGTTATATATTGGACACAATTTGAGTTACCACTTAAAATTGAGATATATTTTGATCAAAACGTTAATAAACAGTTCAAAAGTTAGCGTATAATAAATTTCTATTTGAATATAAAACAAAATTTATTGGTTAACTCCGGGTATAGGAATATAGGCTCAAAGAGTAAAAACAAATTGGTTGAGATTATATCTGTTGATTATATAAGTATTAGTGGCAAAGCTATAGCTAATGACGGCATTAACATTAAAAGCGATGATTATTGCCTTTAATTCCCATAACGAGATCATAAAAATTTATTACTTTAAGGCACTGACTGTCTAATGAAAGAAATTAATAATTGAATACAAAAAACTTATGTAAACTAAACGGTAATGCGTTTTTGTAAACTAAGACAATGTATTAATCAAACAATATATGCATTTAATTCTTGATTTGCAACACAAATAGTAGGAGAATATAATACAATATAATATTGAGACCACTTTCCGTCAGCTGTGGCTTAAAGTGGAGATCGTTTTGTACGGCAAACAGGCGTTCAGTTTGGGAAACATGTAGTGAAAGGCCGATCACTACTACCCATAAGAATAAAGCTCTGCTTCTCTATAAACAGAGATCACATCAAAAAAGAGTAGATTTGCACAAAACTTATGGTTGTTATCATCATTACTATCCGTATTACCCATTGCTTCATACCATATGAGTCCACATCAGGAAAGCAAAAGGCATTTCAATGCATAAATGGCTCAAACATTATATCTATACGAGTATTGGTTTGAATGACGAACCAAAGCATCACTAAAACTCTGATTGTATAATATTTTCATATACTTAAAAGTGGCGTCTCTTTCCACACCTTTCCCTTCCCTGTAGTCTCATCTCATCCCCAAATCTATCCATCAATTGCTTGGCCTCTAATCCGCATTCAATTCATTTCAAACACAAATATTAAGTTTAATGAAATGAATATTGAATTTTAAAAAATATTTTTAAATGTTTTCTTTACGCATGTAATTCTCAAAATATTTAAACAATACTTAAATTTCTTTTGTATTATTCTTGTGTTATACCAAATGATTTGATTTCAATTCAAACACTATATATATATTTGATTTCAATATTGGGTGAAGAAAAGTGTTAAACATAAGTGAAAATACATTTTTAAGTTTTTGATCGGCAGTTAGAAGACGCGCGGATACGCGACTGTTTGGTAGGCTATGGTTGGGTATAGTAGGGAATGGTATGGTATGGTATGGCAGCTGCTACCTAATGGCCCGGTTCACACTGATATCCTCTTTACAAGCAATTTGTTTGCCAACTCATACATAATATGCGAACGGAATTATAGCACAAATTATACTTCAATCGCTATTTTATATAATTTTTGCGATACAAACAATTTTTACGTCTTTCTTATACTTAAATTGGTTGCCATTGTTTGCTGTGAATATCAAATGAGTACTTATTTTATATTATATACGATATCTATCGTAAAACCAAAAATGTTTTCCTCCGATCCGATCCTTTTTGTGCCACAAAAACCGATTAGCAGTTCATTGATGTCTAAATCCATAAGAAATTCAATTCAAATCATATCTCACAACACATTCTGTAACGAGAAATGTGTGAATATATTCTGTGCACTCGTATATAGGGGTTAGACTTATATTGCATTTGTATTGAATATTCTGAATTATACTTGTGTTATGTTTTTTTTGTTCAAATCATTTCATTGTCTTTTATTGCCTACTATTTTAGGTAAAGATATGGTTTCAAAACCGACGGATGAAATGGAGAAACTCTAAAGAGCGAGAACTTTTATCTTCTGGTGGGACTCGAGAGCAAACGCTTCCCACAAAAAACAATCCAAATCCAGGTAAGAGTGCAGACAATCGGCCGCTTCTCTGTGACAATGAGCTGAAACCAAGTGCTGTTTGCGTACAGATCTGAGTGATCCGATTACGATGGCGTCTTCGTCGGCCTCGCGATCGCAATATACTAATGGAAACTCAATGACAACCGCTAACAGTATTGGTGTCGACAAAGAGGGGCAACCGATCCCTCATATGAATGCACACAACAACTACTCGCCGGTCATGTCGTTATCCAACTATGATATGAACGCAAACCGAATGCATGTAATCGACAATCAAATGCAAACCGACGACTCAGACGATGACGACGACGACGAGGAGGACAGCGACGTCGAGATCAAAGTGAACGACGATTAATGTCTACACAAAACGAAATCACAATTTAATGTACAGTAAATTATATGTGTATTATATTATACAGTATATGATAACAGAAAACTTATCATAATATTAGAGAGAAAGACTTGGTTTTAATTGATATAATTGTTCAGAAAGTCTTTTAGACAAATAAATTACTTGTGTTTAGAGCCGAGAGTAAAAGCAAACCACAAGATTTTTATGACATGTTTTAGTCGTAACTTAAAATCCATTTAAAACACACTTTAATTTATATTTATTACTCGTGTATTATATAGGAGTTCACAATAATTTTCATCAAATTATTTGCTTTTGATCTTAAAATACAATTTTGAATTACTTTTTCTTTGAAGGAAACGATGAGTACTCTAAACGTGTATAAAACAGCAATAGATTTATTTATGTATAAGTTTTCTCTCTATAATTTAGTGTTAGTTTATAAACGGTTAAAATGCCATAAATTTAACCAAACAATAAGTCATTTTTAAATATTTGTTTTATTTTCTGTGAATATATTATTGAAATGAGAATTAAATGAATACACAATATATTAGTCCTTCAAATGCATATCAATAGCGAAATGATGTTAACTCTCAAACAAAACAGATTTTCTGCACAAAAAACAAAATTCTTTTAGTAAAATATCATGAATTTTATTGTTATTTATAACGAATTATTGTTTTATTTGATTAATAATTACTATTTTGACACAAAAACCAAACGGAAAATAGTATTCATTTGATTTGATCGGAAGAGAGCCGAAGACGTGATCTCATAGTTAATAATAAATGTGTAGAAAAATATATAAATTTCATTCATTTTGTAAAATTTTAAATTTGTAATTATATTGAAGATAAATACGAATTAAAACGAATATAATTTTAAACAAAACAAATGCTTGTATTTTATTCTTATATTTGAAATATTAGACCCAAAACTATATTTAAATCGAAATATTAATAAAAACAATAAAAAGATTTTTCGCTTCATATGTGTCTAATAGGGAAACAGAAGTGAAATGATATAAAGAATTGTTATATTCTTATGAATTTCTATGCATTTAAACAATAATATATGAAACTTTGTTTTAACGGAGAATATGTTTCCAATCCATTCCTCTCGTAATAAAATAAAATTGAATTTAAAAAGAAATGTTTGGCAGTCAGTCATCAGTCGGCATATATTTTATGCCTCAATATTATGTAATATGTTTTTGAAAGGAGTGTTGGAAAGCAAACTAAACTATAATGAAAATATGCCATAAAAGCAAAACATATTTTTAAATGCCTGAAGAGAATTGAAATGCATTTGTAAAATCTTATATTAGTTTTGTATTTTTAGGGCAAAACTTATTTTATTTATGCTTAAATTGTTTTAAATGAGTTAAATTTGTTAAGCAATCGTATGGCAAACAGTACTCCAATTGCACACAACGTCTACACAATTTGTTGTATTAAATGGGAAACTGAAAGCTTATTCTGAGATGTATTATATAGTGCTCTGTATATTGAGTGCCTTTTCCTCATCTTTTCTCTCAAATATAATATTCAATTATTTTCATTACTTCATTGAACTTTATTTTAAATAATAATTATTTCTAGTATTATGTTCCGCTTTTATGTATATTAGAAAACAAATTAGTTTTTTCATGAATTGCATCTAAAATAAGATGATTGCATAAATGTTAAACAAATATTTCTATTTCTTTCAATCTTTTCAAATCTAAAAAATGTCTGAATTTTGGTTTTAAAACAGATATTATTGAAAACAATTGAAGCATTTATTTAATGATGTTTTTGCTCATAAATATAGTGCAGTCTATGATAAGAGGGAATATATTTAATTTACATTTCATTCATTCATCAAATGGTTTGATAGGAGAGAAAGAGGCAAACATTTTGATATTGAAAAGCAAGTGAATTATGGTTGCATTCAAACACATATTAGAGTTAATATCGAAATGTTAAGCAATAGAAAGAGTCGATCACATCATTAGATGTTTAGTTATGACTTCAAGTTCTCTCTCTCTCTCTCTCTCTCTCTCTCTCTTATAATAAAAGGCAAACTAAACAAAGTATTTATGAGAGGCATGACTATAGGACTGGACTGATTGAGTTGAGAGTTATATAAGTTATATAACAGTGCCTAACAGTTAGAGCACAGTTTAGCGCGAGTTAGTAACAGCTGTATTATGTGATCACATTATTAATAGCAATAAACGATGTTTTAATGTATTAATGGTATTAATGTGTGCATAAATGAAAGGCAAACGCATACGAGAAAAAGGGGTGCAAATGAATTGCGACCAAAATATGCGTTAAGCGCTCATATATTTATACATAAACTTATATAACATATTCACTTAAGTTGGCTAATGATCTCCAATAAGAACCATTAAACATCACTAACAGGCATAACAGGCCTAACTGTGCCGCACAACTACCATCTCAACCATTGCCATCGCATACACAACTCCTTCCCAACTCTAACTTAATATATTCAGGTATATTAGGGCTCATATTATGGTATATATGGGTATATTAGGGTATATTAGATTGCACTTACAGTATAGTACCAAAACATACTGCACACTCTCACCCATTCCTTGCCATACAATCCCAATGCCTGCCAAATACATGTGCGGAACGGGAGGCACATCTCACTCGCAAACCAATCTCGCATATCATAGCCTAAAACTTCAATTAAATCCTAATAACAGTAATATTTATAAATACATTATATAAAATATAACATTTTTATTGTTTACATATAATTATAGTCAAAATTATAGTCTTAATGAAAAGATAAGTATACTTTATACAGTATATTGAATGAACTATTCTGTGTATTCTCTATATTATGCAATATTGTATTCAATATGTGTTCACATTTATTAAAATTGTGTTTTCTATATAACAAGAGAATATTATGAGTAATATTAAGACATCAATATTTAAAATACAGTGAAAAATAGTTTGGGTTTTTGTTTTCGCATATAAGTCAAAAAGCGAGAGAGTATTTAATATATTTTTGCAAAATTAATATTTTTGTGTCTAATTATCATGAATTTTGCACATTTTGCACACCCTTTAAGGCAGAATAAGCTACGGGTTATGCAAATACCCAACAATGTATATAAAAGTGAATATAAAAGTATTAATACTGTGTTTTTTTTCACTATACGTTTGAAAGCATATTATAATTTATTCTTAATAAAAATGCTTTGAGATTATTAGATATATTATTAATAAAGTGAGTGACTTGTCGTTAACCGTGTTGTTAATGCAAACTTGAATTCAAGTCAAAAAGCCACTAAAACTATATATATTTTTTGCATTACTGTATGGCTTGAGTTAAGTCATGCATATTAAACATTAAACGTGTTGAGAGTTTTGTTAAATTAATATAAAATGTTATGTAAAGTAAATTCACTTTTACTTTGCTTTTCGCTTACATTATATATAAGTTATATATTATTGGCTCAGAAAAAAGGAAAGCAAATTCATATACGAGTTGTGTTTTTGTTTCGTTTAGTTTTAATACATTTGATGTTTTGTTTTTATGATTAATAGAGGAGTTCCTAAACCTGTAATTATGTCCTGAGATAAAGATCACAAATTCTTCCATCTCTTTGCTCTTCTTATAAATATTCAAATCAAATGAAACCATCAGAATATATAGCTTCTCTCTCTCTCTCTCTCTCTCTCTCTCTCTCTCNAGAGTGTAAGCCCTATATTGAATCCATAGTATATTATAAACTTCTTTATAACTTTATATTTGCTTCAATAACTTATCATAACTGACCCGAACTTGTCGTTTAGTTTTCTCTCTCTCTATTTCTTTCTTTCTAACCAAAACTTATTGGTTTCATGCGATGACAGAACACAGTGTAGTGTATAAGCCATAGGTTTTGGTGAATCCAAAGGTGCGAAATAACAAACTCTTTGAAGCGAATGAATAAAAAAAAGTTGTGACAAAACCGAGAAAACTAAACGACAAGTTCGGGTCAGTTATGATAAGTTATTGAAGCAAATATAAAGTTATAAAGAAGTTTATAATATACTATGGATTCAATATAGGGCTTACACTCTCTCAATATATAAAGTACAGTATAGTATACTATATATTAAATGCTGTGATATTTGAATATTTAGATAAATTTGTTTTACTTTCTATTTATTTAATTTATTTTTTATTAAAATATTCTTTTCATATAAATTAATTTAATTTAAATATTATTTTTTGTTGTTTTTCTAAATAATAAAATAATAATATTATTAATAATATTTATTTATGACTTTCTATGAGGTTCTTGTTTTTCTAACAAAACAAAACACTTGTGAAACAAATGGACAGTTAATGTAGTGTCGGATGTGAACGACACGGCATCGGCTGATCAAATGTATTATGTATTGTAAACAATATAAGGAATGTATATATCAGTGAAGTATCGACGGAATAACATACATAAGTCCTAACAATATTATAAGTGACTTATATATAGAGAAATGGAGAATATGTCACAATTTTTGCAACAATAAGAATAAAAAGGAGAATTTTGTTTAAAAAATATTTTGAGTATAAGTTATGAAAAGCATAAGAATATAATAGATTATATGCAAGCGATGTACAGATTTTGAGCCTTTTTGCAACCATACCATAGGATAGGAGAGCACATGTATTTGATGCTGTGATGCAGGGATGTAGGGGTGAGTGAGTCCTTAGCCCGAGGAAGACCTGTCACCAACACTTGGCGAACCCAAACGCCAACTCATTTTCTCAACAATTCCTGTGTATTTGTGTCGCAGCGCTTCAAACCGTTTATACAATATATGGATATATTGTGTGTATATATTGTATGGCTTTTCCACTCGTCATAGAGAAAGAGGGGAACCCATAGACCGATGGTTAGAAACAGTGGAGAGAAGCGTATGGTTTGGTTTGGTTTTTGCCGCATATCTAAAGCTCCCGTTTTTAAAAACTACAAAAGAGTAGGGCTTTAATACACAGACACACAAGTGTTCAGAGCTGTGTTCAGTGCTGTTCAATGCTGATCAGTGCTGTAGGTCT